ATCCCCGTCCCCTCTCCCCTCCAAGCCCCTGACAAAACCGCCTCCGTCGCAGACTCTTCCGTCTCCTCCGGCAGCTCTTCCTCGTCGTCCTCCGCTTCCTCCTCCGCCCTCCCCCCTGGCGTCGCTCGCGCCTCCGTGCCTCGTCTGCGCCGCGACGTGCTGCTGGCCAAAGGCAAGCGCCTGTCGGGGTCGTCCTCGTCCTCGTCGTCCAGCGCCTCGTCGTCTTTGCTGTGGAGCGACGTCTCGCGGCGCGGGGGCGGGGGAGCGAGCGCGGCGGAGGCGGAGCGGCTGGTGGCCGCTGCGGAGCGGGGCGATCTGAAGCAGGTGCAGTCGTGCCTGGCGGACGGCGTTAATATCGACGCCAAGGACTCCCGGGGCAACACGGCGCTGCACTGCGCCGCAGGCAACGGCAGGTGCGTCGCTTGTGGCGGAGATGAATGCGGGATTTACACGATACCTGTAACTCCCTTTAAGTGGCCGGTGACGTTAGGTCATGTTTACACCTCCTGCACCACCCTTTCAATGTTAATTTTTTTACACTGGTAAGCAAAATTCTTAGAACGACCCCGTTTAGGACTACGTTCTTGAATTAATGAAAAAGATTAATTTTATAAGGCAGGAGGTGTAACAGGGACAGGTCATCGGCCACTTTTTAAAGAGAATAGAGTTTTCATAGAAATGACCCACTATCGGAAATACGCTTAATTTTTCTGTACGAAATCGGTACCTCAGTCTGGAGGGAATGTTAGCACAAGGTGCAAAACTTGCTTAGAAACAGTGATTCTACGAGTATTTTGTCAGGATAGGTTTAAAATTTTGGTTGCTAGAATGCACGTCCAAAATAACAAATTGAAGGATGCGATTCAACTAGTTAATTATGGGGAATTCCCCAATGGAACTCCGCTCCTTTGAAAATACTTGATTACCCGACACGGAGCGAATATTTTGTTAAGTTCTTGCCAAAAACATTCTGCACTCAGAATTTAACATGAATATGGTTTAAGGTAGGGATTCCAGAATTAGAAAACTTGTACAAAATACGAATCTCCAGTTTTTAACTATTCCTGACTTAAAATTTAAAAAAACCCTATCTACAAAGTATTGGACTGGTGAGCGCGTGTCTCCAGGCGGTGACGCCCATGGTTACTGCTAACTCGTCCATGACAATTGCGCCACGTGAGTCTGGCAAAACATTGTTGAATATTAAAATGTTGTGTTAATTCACCAAATTCCTCAGGCCCTTCATTTCTAATGAGTAACTTACGTGCCAAATTTTTTATCGAACTTTTCCTAAACTCGGTGCTAAACTCCATATTCCCGTAATTTTGGAAATGCCTTCCTTAAGATCCTGCACTTTCATCCCAACATTTCGTGCTTTTACCTGAAATTTTTATAACAAACTCTAGTAATGCTAGAGGCATTACTAGGCAAACTAAAGTAATGCCTTGTTGGTGCCTTGTCTCGGGAGTTCTAATTCTTCTCCTAGGCCAAAAAGGAAGCACGCAAATTCGTCGTGCAGAGTTAAAAGCTAAGGGTTATAGTTCACTATTTGTTGCACATACTCAGATTGATAGCTGTGAAAGCCTCGTTCAGTAATGTAAAACATTTACCAGCGCAAGGACGTAACATGTTAACTCCCCATGCAGTTGCTGGAGACTGCTAACTGTCAACAGTAATACGGTGCTGTGGAGATTGGCTGAGCCTCGCTTCGGCATTCTAATCCTTCACCGGGGCCGGGACGTGTCTTCGGCCCCTTGCAATTACAGGAGGGTTGAAATGTGTCTTGGTTTGCGCGCGCGCGCGAGGTGCTTTGCAGCGCAGGGGCGTGTGGCCGCAGTAGTGTAATGCCGCCACACTTCCCTGCTGTGGAGCCATTCCTATCCTTTCGGACATCTATGGCTGATCTGAAAATAGAGAAAAGAACATGGTCAGGAAAGACAATAGCCGTTCGGCGCGCTTTTGGCGTTGTTTACCGCAATTTTCATGCAAGTATTGGCGTCTCGCCTATTGTAGCATATCTCTCGGGCGCTTGTACGTAGCCGTGGGGTCCGGCTCGTACAAAGATAAATTTATTATAATGTCATTATTTGACGTATTTAGTTTTGAATAAAAGAATTTTGCTAAGTTTTTAAAGTGCTTTTCTATGAGCGGTAGTTCAACTGCAGCGTGTAAATCTGCGTTTCTATCTTGGTTTGCCACGTGCGCAGGTATGAGGTGGTTGCGTTCCTGCTGGAGGCCGGCGCCTCCGCTGACCTGTGCAACGTGGACTGCGTCACGCCGCTGCACGCGGCCGCCTCCTCCGACGGGACGGGCCAGTGCGCCCGCGCGCTCCTGGAGGCGGGCGCGCCAACTGACGCCGCGGACGTGGACGGCTGGACGCCCCTGCACACCGCCGCCGCCTCCAGCAATGACGCCGCGATGCAGCACCTGCTGAAGGCCGGGGCGGACCAATGCGCCCTTGACGCGCACGGCTTCACGCCGTATGACTTGGCTCGCGGCGCCATGGCGAGGCTGCAAACTTGCTGAGCCCCGCCCCGACCCTGGCCGCGTGCCGGTTTAGTTTTCGTTTCCCTATCTAAGTTACGTTGGTCCTACCTACTAAATTAGCTCTGAAGTTACGTTGGTCCTTGGAACGCCTGTCTGTACCCTCCGAAGTTACGCAGCTTGTGCTGAAGCCAGGATCTTTTGAAATGATGTGGTGTTGAGTAATCTTGAAGGCAAAAAAACAAACAAAAAACAATAAAAATACATGAAAGATCTAGCTTTACATGGACCACAAAGATGACTGAAATATGCTGGCGGCAACACTAGTACATTTTGAACGATTTGTTTAGTAGAATCTGATATTTGACTTGAAGTAATATTGTTTTTCACGTGTTGAAGAAACAATATATCTTAATAAATTATGGTAAGATTTCAACACGATGCTTTTCATACATTGTAATTTAACGTATAATTGTCTGACTTAACTTCGAGGTTTTTGAAAGGTAATATTGTAGAATGCCATCATTGCATAAAAATTTACTCAGCATGAGCTCAAATAGATTGTTTGACTGTTAGTTGAAAAAAAAAATAGAATAAAGTACACTGCATGATATTTGAATAGTTCCATTCTCTTTAATCTAAGGATGTCAGCTGGAAGTTCTTAATCGTATGAAATGCTAAATATTGCAAATTCAAAAACACTGGACGTCTTTACAGAATAAACATTTTAAAGCTGACTGTAGTAAGTAGAAAAAGGATGTACTACCTAGAGTTGATCTGTTGTATTGTTGTGTGATACAGATTTGGAAAGTTAACGGTATTGTGTATCAAGATTTTTGTGCATTTTAAATACTAGTCATTTCTCAAGTATACCGGTGATTGTCAATTGTATAAAGTAATGAAATAAAATAAATTCAAATTTGGTTTTTGATTTCATTGGCATTTAAAAGCGTATTAAGACCTGAAAACCCTAATATCTGAAATACATTTTTTGAGGTGTAGGTTGTTTTGGTAATCAAGACTTGGCAAAAGGGTATGAAACCAGCTTTAGAAGGCTAGAACTTAAAGGCGGAAAATTAACAATTATTTCGGTTGGAGTTTTGTGCAGGATCTTTATACATTACTTGATAAACCGCTGCCTACTCTAGCATTTGGTCGTAGTTATTGATAGTTGGAATAAATCTCACTTTCGTATAGCTATACCAGACGTTCGCGTCAAACTATTAATTGTCCTAGGGATATAATTCCAATGGTTTTCCGGACGGTTAAAACCGGAAAAGAACTGTGGAATATAATTTGAAAGCAAAGGGCAAATCGAACAGGACTAGGCAAATTTATGCACTCGAGGTGAGTCCTATTTCAGGTTTTAAATAAGCTGGCCAAGGAAGTCAATGTTCTGGACAGGAAATAATCGTCTAAAACTTAGTAGGCGAGGGGAGTAACTTATATTTTAAATATATCAACCCATCAAGCTTGGCAAAAAACAGTTATGAAATGAAAAGTTTACAAATCCAATTCTTAAGGTTTTCCGTCTCGCGTCTCTTTTCGTGATATTGCAAGCTAAACGTACTTTCAACGTCTTAGGCCTGTCATACGACAGTTGGATTGACGCATCACGTAACGTTGATGACGAAAATGCCTGCGCACACGAGTCACTTAACGCGTATCATAGATTAACATTGGATCTTACGTAATGATCTTGGCGACGTGCGTTCGTTACCAACGCGAGCAACTTACCGGGTGTCGAGCCTTTTGATTTACGTTGTAGCTTCAACGTCTCGAGTTGTGGAGACAACGCACGTCGCTAAGTGCGCTAGTGTGCCTTTTCACGTAAGATAGCGTTAATATACGACGCGCGTTAAGTGACACAAGTGCGCAGTCGATGCAGGTGACGTCAGGGTTTTATTCATTCATTTACGTCAAAAATAGTTGAACTGTGTGACGTGCTAGGGAGAGATGTTGATTTAAAAATACGTTTGTCTAGAAAAACAAGGGGCCCTCAGCATTTGCTCATGGATCAGGGAAACTGGACGAAAACCTGATTGAGATGGGGGGTCAATGACTCAGAAGCTGAAGTAAAATACCTGCTGCAGGTTATTTACAACTATACAATCCAAATGGATACATTAAATTTCATTAAGTTTAATATTACTTTCCTTTTCGATGCTCGGTATAGTCTCTAATTGTATAGAAACATGTGCAGCAGAAAAAAAATTACTTGGGAAGTAAAACGATTAAATTCGATACAAAAGTTTTGTCATCTGCAAGGTGTTGTAAAATATTGTACATGTACAGCATATTACTTTCTTGTAGTGAGCTGTTGGTACTGTCACCTGATGGATGTACTTACTGAAAATATATTCCCAGCCTTAAGTCATTTTTGACGAAAACCACTGTTTCAGATATCAAGAGACTATGTAATGGTAAAATACCTAGATTATTAAAGAGTCTTACAAGAATCACGTGGGTGGCATTTGCTTATTATTCGTACAATTCTTTTTTTGTAATATAAAAGTCTGGGAATTATAAGATGTATTCCCCCTGAATATTATGCCGTATCTCTCGCGGAAGTAAACATCCGCGAAATATTCACAACGAGCAGTGTAGTGGCTGACTAAATTTGAAAGAATTCTGAAAGCGTAGCATAAAGAACTTAATTTAATGTTCAATTCATTTAAATGGAAGTTGAATTTACGGTTTGACTGTATTGAAAGACCTAAAATGTTACCTTAACATTAAGCAATGGCACACCGTTCATTTCCAATGGAGTACAGAGGTGTTAATTTGAAATGGAAAACTGCATTGAAACAGTTTTCTTTTCATTTACTATTAATTTATTACAGAACAAAATTGAAATATTTGCGTTTGTAATACTTACGGTTTATTTTGTGGCGGTACCGAATACTTTACATTTAAATACGAGTAATATTAATGCCGGTAGTTTTCTTGCAGTACCCTGCCACAAAGGGCCCTCGCGCGCCTCATCTATGTAAAGACTCAACGCGCACTCGATCCCCCTCCTTCCAACTCACCACTCGCAGCCGCATTCTTTGTGTAGGAGAACTCCCGGCCACCTACTTCGGGATCGGCCTACTACACCTATGAGGTCTACATCGGGATCGTCCGCTGCTCCGTTTGTTTATCATCCGAAAAGCGCCCTTTCAGAAAGTGACACGGCCACCTCTTTCGGGCCTCTACGGCGCCACCCAGTGGCAATTAACAGGAATTATGTTCCCCTGGGCCTACTTCTGCGACGCTGCTAGCCCCACACGTGTTTTTCGTAAACACAGTGAAAGAAAGAAACGAGAGACAGAATATACTTGAAAGTTTGTACTCGGATTTCTATTTTTAGAACGGCCATTGGGCAAAGGATTTTCACTGCACACATTATTTTTGCCTATCGCCGACATGATTCCGAAATTTTAGAAAACTTTCTGGAACATCTGATATTTTGGGAGAGGGAAACAGGGCTTGAGCGGGCATTCAGACAGACACGAGGAGAGACTCGAGGACAATATATGCGGAGGTTGAAGGCCTCAGACGTGTTTCTTCTGAGCATTTAATGCACTCGCGCGCAGTCACTTGCGTGAATTTTGCAATTTCGGGCTAAGAAAATTTTCGAACCGCAGTGTTATCAATTCACATGATTTTATTTCATGGCCTCAATTTAGTGGACGAAGTAATTCATCACTAAATTCATCACGTTTGGGAGCCCGTTAGTTTTATGAAATACAATCACCACATGCAACGAAATCTGCTGCCAGTATTTGACATAATCACTCGGAAGTGATTTCGTGAACCTGAGCGACCGCTGCCTTTCCTATTCAATACCAGAGAAGCCTTGTTTGGTGGCGTCAACCCGGCCAGCTGAGCGAAGCTTTGCTCCCCGGCCACCCGCCTCCGTCGGCGAGTGTCTCCAAACGCGCGGCCTTGGCCTCGCCGCCGTCCCAGCCGCAGCGATCTCCAGGGTCGTCCTTGGAGGGAAACCGAACAGCCGAGTGGAGAAATGACCTCCGTTGCTATTGCGGGGATTTGTATGAAAGAGAGTTGTATGCTCTCAACTGCCCCTCGGGCACCAGAATAAAACGAACTTCTAGACATTCAGTTCTCAATTTGTTTCAAAAAGAAAGGATTCTAAGTTGCGCGTTGACTCTTAAAATAATGAGCGTAAAGAACTTT